GTTCTGCCTTGGGATGAAAGCCAACTGGGTGACTTTGGGCCCATCACTAGAAGACAGTGAGTTCTAGTTCTGCCTTGGGATGAAAGCCAACTGGGTGACTTTGGGCCCATCACTAGAAGACAGTGAGTTCTAGTTCTGCCTTGGGATGAAAGCCAACTGGGTGACTTTGGGCCCATCACCAGGAGACAGTGAGTTCTAGTTCTGCCTTGGGATGAAAGCCGACTGGGTGACTTTGGGCCCATCACCAGGAGACAGTGAGTTCTAGACCCACCTAAAGTATGATCACCAGGTGAGTGACTTTGGGCCCATCACCAGGAGATGGTGAGTTCTAGACCCACCTAAAGTATGATAGCCAGCTGAGTGATTTTGGACCAATCGCTAGAAGATAGTGAGTTCTAGTTCTGTCTTATGCTGGGTGACTTTGGGTCCATCATTAGGAGATGGTGAGTTCTAGTTCTGCTTTAGGCATGATAGCTGGCTGAGTGACTTTGGGCCCATCACCAGGAGACGATGAGTTCTAGTTCCTCCTTGGGATGAAAGTCGGCTGGGTGACTTTGGGCCCATCACCAGGAGACGGTGAGTTCTAGACCCACCTAAAGTATGATAGCAGCTGAGTGATTTTGGACCAATCACTAGAAGACAGTGAGTTCTAGTTCTGCTTTAGGCGTGATAGCTGGCTGGGTGACTTTGGATCCATCACCAGGAGACAGTAAGTTCTAGACCCACCTTAAGCATGATAGCTGGCTAGGTGACTTTGCTTTTAAGAAAAACCCTCCAGAGGCACTTTCTGTGTCATGTTTCTAGTCCTCACGTTGAAGAGAAACTCCAAGGGTTGAAGGTTAAAGTCATAGACCTTAGATTTACATACCGCTAACCCTAACCCTAAGATCCAAGTTCAAATGACATTTCTACAACTTGGGGCCTTCAAACCTTGGCAACTTTAATGCCCGTGGACTTCCACTCCCAGAATTCCCCAGGCAGTGTGGAATTCTGGGAGTTGAAGCCGATAGGTCATGAAAGGGGCCATAACTGCCCATTCCTGCTCTGGGTCTTGCAAGGATGAGATCCATCTTAAATTCAGGAGTCCCGCCTCGAGGCACAAAACTCAAACCCCTCCGTTAAGCAACACAACTGCTGTGTTCATTGGACCGGCTGCGTGCTTGAGAAAGATGCCCGTGATGATATAAATGATAAAGAGGAATCGGTGTACTTCAAGACATGGGGAAGATTTTATGAATGGTTAGAGAAAGACATACAGAAAAGAAAGAAAGAAAGAAAGAAAGAAAGAAAGAAAGAAAGAAAGAAAGAAAGAAAGAAAGAAAGAAAGAGGAAGGAAGGAAAGAAGGAAGGAAGCTAGGAAGGAAGGAAGGAAGAAAGAAAGAAAGAAAGAAAGAAAGAAAGAAAGAAAGAAAGAAAGAAAGAAAGAAAGAAAGAAAGAAAGAAAGAGAAAAGAAAGTAAGGGAGG